GGGCCGGCTTTTTTTTTTTTTTTTTTTTTTTTTTAAATCAATTCTGCTTCTTGTAAAAAGCAAACCTACTGATGTGACTTATATGGCTTATGTTCATTCTTACCTTTTTTTCCTCAGAGCTCTGGAAACCAACAGGTATAATCACATCACAGCCACTTACTTCTTACTTGCTGAAAGGATCCTGAGAGAAAAGCAAGAGAAAGAAATACAAACCAGATCTGCAAGCCCTAGCAATATTAAGGCGCAGTTTAGGTGAGAAAAAAATCTTCACTGATTTTAGTAAGTTAACGTTTTGAAATAGTGAACTTTTTAAAAAATGTTTCCTAACTCTGTGGGGCGAGAGAGTACAGTGATGATAGCCTCATTGGAGAGGCCACCTTGGGCTGCTTAGGTGCGTGTGCGGGTCTTGGTTCCTTTGGCAGTAAGGATGCCTTCCGCTCTTGGGCTCAGTGGGGAGAGGGGGCTGTGGCTGTTGGCCTGGCCAGGAAAACACGTGGAGAAGTAGCCTCAAGCCAGAGTGTCTGCCAGTTGTTCATTAAACTCTCCAAATCCAACATGTATTAACGTGTTATTTTCTTTAGTTTTTCATTCCAGGAACAAGGCTGAATTTTTTCTCTGTTATTTGAAATAATTTTTAAAAATACATAGGGCATTTCTGTGCCATGATGTTATCTCAGGATTTCAGGGATTGGGCCATCAGATCAGCTAGTTGATTTACTAGCTCTTTGACCTTGGAAGGTCACTTAACCTCTCTATGACTTTGCTACCTGATCTATAAAATGAGGGTAATAATACTGTTTACCTCATGGGGTTGTGGTGAGGGATAAGTGAATTAATATATGTAAAGTACTTAGACCAGGGCTCTGTGTGCTCCTGGTCATTGTTAGGAATATTTCGTCACCTTTATCATCTTCAATAAAGTAGTGAGTGTGCTCCTCTCCTCACCTTTTCTCCCCTGCCCTCTCTTCCTGCCCTGCCTCCCTCTCCCCTCACCTTCCCACTTTTCTTTTTCTTCTGCCAGAGTAGCTTTCAATTTAAGGTCAAAGCATGGAAAGGCTTTACTTTTTTAGTTCATCATTATGAAATTTATTTAGAATTTATCCATTCAGATAAAGTAGTCCATGGAATTGTAGTAGTTCAAAAACTGGAGAGTATTCCTGATTCTGAATAACTCTCTGTTAGTACCTCTGAATATATATGAATGTATGTGTGTGAATATGTAATTATTATTATTGTAAAAGAGTAAGAAAATCATCTGGATTTTAAATCACTTACAGTCATCTCACCATGTGTAGTTTGTTGCTTGGGTGGAGCGGCATAATAGAGGGAGGAAAACATTCCCAGCTTGCCAAAGGATAAAGATTTAGAAGTCTAGTATAACTAGAAAATTAATTGAGTAATTTCATTCATGTCCTGGATATATACCTTTATAATGAAAACTAGACACACTGTCTAGTGTCTGCTTGAAGAAGGATTGAGCCCCAGGAAGCGAGGGTACGCTTGGGGATGAGACACACCAGAGACTGACACTGAGAGGTTAGAGTCAACCTAGTCCTGACCTGAGCTGCCTTTCAAGAAAGAGTAAAGAGTTACCTCAGAGCAGATAGTCACTGCACGCCAGGTACACTGAGTCTGGAGCAACCATCAGTCTTCTGGAGAAGAGGATATTTGGATTTGAACTTTTCTGTTCAGTGAAATAGATCAGAGCTCAATCTAAAGCTGATCAGATATGTAAATGAATTAAATTGGTTTTACTTTATTATAGAAATTAAGGGCTAATAGTAGCTATCAAGAAATACCAGGGCCTCTGAGCAATTTTTCTCTTGTGCTTGTGAGGACTCTGGAGTGGAGACACTATGAGGGCCTCTCTTCCTGTGGCACCCGCCCACTGGCGGGTGGTGCTGCCTGCTCACTTGCCTTCTCATTGTTGTCACTGTGACTTTATTGTCAAGACCCTGGACCTTACTTGCTTCCACTGCTGGGTATGCCCTGGCACCAGAGTGACCTGGATGGTGGAAGCCTGGACTGAGTCAGGAGACTGGTATTTAAATTGGCAGGTGGGAGCAGAGGGGCAGGTCAAGCCAGGAAGAGCCAGCCATGGAAAGCAGATACATGCTTTGGGGCCAGGTGGATGCTATGGGGATATTGATGATGGGACCGTTGGGATGGGTGGTTAACAGGAGACCAATCCACCCACAGCTGGACTGCTGGCATCTTTGCACACAGGTGGGTGGGCAGAAAGAAGCAGGGCAGGGACTTAGTCTGTAGGTTCTGGAGTCCAGAGTCCTAGGTCTGGAATTGGGTGAGAACATAGTGACTCCACTAGAGAATGAAGTAGAATATGCCCAGTTTCAGGAATGTGATGTAAAATGTGGCTTGGCTCAGAGAAGTGGTGTTTGTACAGATAGGATCCTGAAACAATGAGGTGATGTGGTATCATTTCGAGAACAGTTCCATTGTGTGTAGCTCTCCAGGGCCACAAGGCTAATGGGGAGTTTGTACGATTTTGTTGGACAGATGACTTTTTCAGAGATACTTCTTGACTTCAGAAACATTATTAAACACTCACCTTTTATAAACTACCAAGCAATGACTATGGCAGATGACCTCACTCCATCCTCGAGAGGTAGGATAAGGCTCCAAGTTAGGGGAAAGTTGTCTATTATAAAATCCCCAGTAGTTTTTTAATGCTGTAGATTTAATTCAGTTTTATTTTTAGAATAACAAAATTGGTGTGAAATGAAAATATCACAGTGTGAAAGTGGCTGTTTTAAATGTGTCTGGCATCAGAGTAGCCTATGGCATCTACTTTTTTCCCTGGACGAAGAGGACAGTTGAGAATTCAAAGATGTTTATTCAAAACAGAGGCTAGGAAAGCCTCATTTTCAAAAGTCGTCATCTTTGGCTGCAGTGTTCTTGCCACTTGGGTGACTACAGAATGGGGAATAAAATCAAAGCTTAATTAATAGTGAATTTTGCTGTCCAGTGAAGATGTTTATTCAAAACAGAGGCTAGGAAAGCCTCATTTTCAAAAGTCGTCATCTTTGGCTACAGTGTTCTTGCCACTTGGGTGACTACAGAATGGGGAATAAAATCAAAGCTTAATTAATAGTGAATTTTGCTGTCCAGTATTCTTGTGTGGGCATTCAAAGACATATTTATATTTAACTTAGTGAGTTTTTTAATTGGAGGACAGATTTATGTATGCCAGTTATACATTGACTTTTCTCTCCAGTATTTTCATATTTAAATACATTAAACTACTTCCACTTATTTTTATAAAAACTGAGACTTTACACCATCATGTAAAGTCAGAAGCACTGGAAATTTCAGGTGAATTCTGTTAGTGATAATATACCTTTAAAGGTTGTAATCTAAGAACCGAATGAACAAATCATGTGTGGTGGTCAGGTTTTGCTTTGGCAATAACCCCTTTGTACTTTTAAAAAGTGTTTATCTTGTAGTATAAAGCTTTTGTATAGAAAAGATGGAGCCGTTTTTTGCCCCATTTTTTCTGACTGATGTGATAAAGTTGTCATTTGCCATAAGCCACAGACTGAACCGTGTTTCAAAACCACATTTGCCCTTCTGGTGTCCTTGCTGATGTTTACAGGATATTGAATGGGTTTACAAGGCTGCTGCTGCTTTTTCTTTTCAACTCTGGGGATTTTGTCCCCGTAAATTTTATATAATGTACTTTTCTAACATCTGCATATGATGACATAACTCTTTCTTTTTCCAATCTGTTACACAGGCAGTCATGGCCAACCAAAATTGATGTACCCCAGGACCTTGAGGATGACCTCACAGCTACTCCTTTGTCCCATGCGACTGTCCCTCAGTCTCCTGCTCGGGCTGCCGACAGTGTCCTCAATGGCCACAGGAGCAAAGGCCTGTGTGACTCGGCTAAGAAAGACGACCTCCCCGAGTTGGCTGGACCAGCACTCTCTACAGTGCCACCTGCAAGCTTAAAACCCACAGCCAGTGGGCGGAAGTGTCTGTTTAGGGTGGAAGAAGATGAGGAGGAGGATGAGGAGGATAAGAAGCCCATGTCCCTCTCAACACAGGTGGTTTTGCGCCGGAAGCCATCTGTGACCAACCGCCTGACGTCCCGAAAGAGTGCTCCTGTCCTCAACCAGATCTTTGAGGAAGGGGAATCTGATGATGAGTTTGACATGGATGAGAATCTGCCTCCCAAGCTGAGCAGGTTAAAGATGAACATCGCTTCCCCAGGCACAGTTCACAAGCGCTACCACCGGAGGAAAAGTCAGGGCCGGGGCTCCAGCTGCAGTAGTTCAGAGACCAGTGATGACGATTCTGAAAGCCGGCGGCGGCTTGATAAAGACAGCGGCTTCACCTACTCCTGGCACCGCCGGGATAGCAGCGAGGGGCCCCCTGGTAGTGAAGGGGATGGTGGAGGCCAGAGCAAGCCGAGCAACAGTAGTGGAGGGGCGGACAAGGCCAGCCCCAGCGAGAACAATGCCGGCGGGGGCAGCCCCTCCAGCGGCTCGGGCGGCAACCCCACCAACACATCTGGCACCACGCGCCGCTGCGCCGGCCCTGGCAACTCCATGCAGCTGGCCTCTCGCAGCGCTGGGGAGCTTGTTGAGAGCCTCAAACTTATGAGCCTCTGCCTTGGCTCCCAGCTTCATGGGAGCACCAAGTACATTATTGATCCACAGAATGGCTTGTCGTTTTCCAGTGTGAAAGTCCAAGAGAAATCCACTTGGAAGATGTGCATCAGCTCCGCGGGGAATGCAGGGCAGGCCCCTGCAGTGGGCAGCATAAAGTTTTTCTCTGACCACATGGCAGATACCACCACTGAATTGGAACGGATAAAGAGCAAGAACCTGAAAAATAACGTGCTACAGCTACCTCTGTGTGAAAAGACCATCTCTGTGAACATCCAGCGGAACCCTAAGGAGGGGCTGCTGTGCGCCTCCAGCCAGGCCAGCTGCTGCCACGTCATTTGACTACGTGCCAGCCTGGCCGCTGGCACTTGTCCTGCTCAGAGCGGTGAAGACTGGCTCGCCTCACTGTTCCCTTTTTGGTTTTACTATTTTAAAGTGGGTGTTAGGAGCAATTATTTATTACCTTTTTATTTGTTCGCCTGACGATGTGACAATGCATGGTCTTTGTGCATGCTGCTAGACACTACTTTTCTTTTCCAGCTGAAAAGTCTGTTGTGTAATTTTTACATTTATAATTTTAATGTGGATGATCAGGATTAAATTAAAATGTATATTTGGAACCTAGTTATAAATGGAGCACTTAGAAATTTGATGTTCTGCACTTAACCTAGAGAGAGAAAAAATGTTTTTGTTTCTTTGTGAAAAATCTAAATTCCTGTCCTGACCTTCTGTGATACGGAAGCTCCGTACTCTGAGGCACACTCTGTGGTGTCCGAGACAGAACCAAAGCAATAATGCTGTGATGCCGACAGGCTGGGGTGAGCGAGCATGTGCCGCCCGGCTGGCCAGGCCGTACTCTGAGGCACACTCTGTGGTGTCCGAGACAGAACCAAAGCAATAATGCTGTGATGCCAACAGGCTGGGGTGAGCGAGCATGTGCCGCCCGGCTGGCCAGGACTGTGCAGAGCAGAGGACAGTGAGCGTCTGCACTGAGAACCTTCAAACTATGATTTAAACATACCCACACCTGTTTGTCTTAAACTATAGTGTGAAAAAAGTTTGGGCTCTTAAAATTTAACTGAAAAAAATTTTCTTGTTTTTGTAATAGATGAGCTAAAGTACTTAGATTTATAAGGCAGCTTCCCCTGTAGTGATAAATTACAAGCAGACAATCTTACTTTGTAATGTGATGAAGTGAATTGATGATGTCTTAACTCTACTTTTAGAGTGTACATCTGTCTAACAGAACAAAAAGATGCTCTGTAAATTCCTTCCTGTAGGGCGCACCGCTGGATTTCCTTTAAAACCACATGGGTAGAAGAAACCATAGGGCCTAGTACAAAAGCAGAGGTGCACACAGATGTTTGCAAAGTCAAACCCATGAATGAAAACAAAACCAGACTTAGTGGATTTGTTTCTCAGGAGTTTGCTAATTAGGTTGTTCTTTTATCATTTCCATTTTTTTACGTCCTTTGGCTCAAGCTAGCTATGGAAATTGGCTGATCAAAAAATGCATATGAGAAGGTAAAATTCACACATACAGCAAACAAAAATGCACAAAGCCTGCTTTGTAACTTTTTATTCTGGAAGTATTTTTCACTTTGCCTTCCTGCCAAAAGAATAATCAAAGAACTCTTGCTTTGACCTGTTCCTGTATAAAGACTACCAGATAATGATCTCTTGTGGCATTTTGTCTTTTAGAACACAGTATATTGAAGATTGCTAATTTTGGTAGGGGCCAGATGCTGTTTTTTCATGCTGTGCCCTGAGGGTCTTAAAAGCAATGCATGGTGACTTGGTGATAGAATGTGGCTAGGACCCAGGGCCACTCCCACACCCCCTTCAGCCTCCTATCATGTCTCTGAAGTGACCAACTGAGATGCATCTGGTCACATAACTCGGAGAGTGGGCAGAGCACCAAAGAACTGCATTGTGTTGGTCACTTTCTTCAAGTACACACTGACTCTGCTACTTTAGGATTAATATAGTTCACTCAGAACTCTGAATTTCACAGTATACTTACTAAACTAAGTAAAAATGATACTTAAAATACTTTACTTTCTAGACCTATGCTAGATATGTTTTAAGCTACAGCTCTAGTTCATTGTGATATTTATAATTGAAAGCTACGAGAATAGATGTGTGGGTGAAGCCATAGAACATATTTGCTTGAAATTCTTGAGCAGGGATCTTATATAAAGGGCCAGAAATAAGATGTGTGGTTCACATAGATAGTGAGCGTAACATCTGTATTAAACGTAGGAGAGAAGTTTATAAAAGGGCATTGGCAATAAATTCTTTGTTGCAGCTGTTTTCCAAGTAATGTAAATATTTTTTCCTGTGATTATGTATAGCCTTGGAATGGCACCTTTTAACTAACCCATATGTGTTTGGTTTTCAATGGTTTTTTTATATTCAAATGTATATATGGTGCTCACTTTAGGATCAGCAGTGTTGACCATTTATGCTGCATAGCTGTATTATAGCCTTATAGTTGTGTGTGGTTGATTGGCCCTCTGGGTATTCAAATGTCAGTCTGAGTGGTGTCTTACTCATTTGTTCATAAGTGGATGATTGTGCATGTGTTGTATGTCATAGTATGTCGTCACCTAAAAGGGAGGGAGCGAACAACCATTACATTAAGATAATATTGGACCAAACTACTTACTTGCTCTAAACAGTTACTTGTACCCCTTAACCTGTCTTCAAAAGTTACATATAGTTACAGTAGTGTATAAATTAAATATTGTGGAAAAAGTTAGTCTTGTATTTTTCTGTATGTGTGTATATATATAATTATGTACTTCTGGCAATTCTATCTGTATTAAAGATGTGACAATCTTGACACCGATTTTCAGAATAGCCAAGAGACTGAATTTGATTGAAGATATCCCTACCAAGTAAGAATTGGTCTGTGTTAAGAGGGTACAAAATTATCAGCTGATTTGGTCAGTTGCTTCCAATGCTGGTTGATTTTCCTCATTGTGTAAACATTGACAGGTATGTGTCAAATGGGAAAAAGTCCAAATAATAAAGTGACATATTGGTGTTCAGCAATATAAATCATGTCCCATGTTGTATTTCTTCTCATGAACGCAGTTTTGTAGAATCTCAGCTCAGTTTGACCCAACTTCCCACATACCCTGCACCTGCCCCACCAGATGTGGCTGAAAAAACGTAATTGTGACCTTCTTGCTTTAATCTCATGACCGTGTATATCAAGCAGGCCCCAAGACTGCCCAGTAATTATACTTTATTTCTGCATTTTATCTACATTTCTCACTCAGCTGGTTATCGTGCTCCCTAGTAACTGAATAAACAATCACTTAGAATTGCCACAAGCTCCCACTTCTGCCTTTGTAATTATACTTTATTTCTGCATTTTATCTACATTTCTCACTCAGCTGGTTATCGTGCTCCCCAGTAACTGAATAAACAATCACTTAGAATTGCCACAAGCTCCCACTTCTGCCTTTCTTCCTATGTATCCACATGCTCTGTCCTTTCTCCTATTGGTATGATTCCAAGATCAACTCCTCCACTTACACCCTAGATCCTAGCCCCTCTGGCAGCCACGAGGACTTTGCTTCGGTCATTCCTTTCTCTTGCATCATCTGTCTTTGCTTCTCTACTAGACCATTCCTAACAGCAAACAAAACCAAGCACGATTTTATTTCCCTATCTTAAAAAAAGTTCCCTCTCTAGCTGTTGCCACATTGTCACATTTCTCTTTCTCTGTTCTCTTGAGCCTTTCCCATCAGGCTCTTGCCGCTATCACCACCAAAACTGCTTTGCTCAAGGTCAGCAGTAACCTCTATGTGCTAAATCCAGGGGTCAGTTTTTAAAAACAGTTTTATTGAAGTATAATTCACATACCACGCAATTCACATTAAATTATACACTTCAGTGGTTCTTTAGTGTATTTTCAGAGTTATGTAACCATTACCGTGGTCGATTCCCCTCCCCTCCCCCACCCTCAGGCAACCACTAATCCAGGGGTCAGTTTTCAATCCCATGTTAGAATGTGACGATCACTCTCTTCCTCATAAACTTCCAGCTTTCAGTACCGCACTTCTACCTTACTGCGCTTCAGTCCACTGGCTCACTCTCCCAACCTCTGAACTTGGAATGTCCTCAGGTTGAGTTCTGGACTCTTCTATCTGCTCAGCCAATCTCTTGAAGATTTTATTCAGTCTATATTTAGCCCACATCTTTCCCAGGAACACCAGATCTCAACTATCTGACTTCTCCACGTGGATGTGTCTAACACGCATCTCAATTTTTACAAGTCCAAAGCTCCTAATCTTTCTCTTCAAATCCTTACTCTTAGAGCTCCGCATCTCAATAAATGGTAACCAAACCTTTTTAGTTTTACGTAAGCCAGAAACCTTGTCACCCTTCACTCATCCCAACATTCAATCCGTGAGCAAATCTTACTTGCTTTTCTGATCCCTTCTCGTCGCCTCCACCCACCCGGCCTACGTTCATCACAGCAGCATCACCCCTTCGGACAACTGTAAATGCCTCTTCAAGGGCTTCCCTGCTCTTGCCCTTACATTTCTCTTGTCTGTTCTCCACTGAGCGATATGAGTGACCATCTCGAAAGCTAAATCCTGTCATGTTTTGAAAGGGGGTTAATTTCTAAATATTTGGAGATTTTCCACATACATTTTTGTTATTTCTAGTTTAATTTAATTTTAGTCAGAACATGCCTTACATAATTTAAGTCTTAACTGAAACTTGTTTTATGACCCAGCAGTTGACCTATGTTGGTGAATGTTTTGCGAGTGCTTGGAAAGTGCGGTTGTAAGTGGGGTGATTTAAACATGTCAGTTCAAGTTAATAATGTTCAAGTTTCCTGTCTCCTTACTGATTTTCTGTCTCAGTTTAGCAATTACTGAGAGAGGAGTGTTGAGATCTCCAACTGTAATTGTGGATTTACCTATTTCTCCTTTAGTTCTATCAGTTCCCATCTCCAGCCCCCCACCCCGCCCTCCCGCCCTGTGAAATTGAAGCTCTGTTGTTAGGTAAATACACATTTGAGATTGTTATGTCTTCTTGATGAATTGGTCCCTTTTATCATCATGAAATGTTCCTTTTTATCCCTGGTAAATTATTCTTTATTCTGAGATCTGCTTTGCTTGGTATTGATATAGCCACTCCAGCTTTTTTTGGACTTGTGAGAGTACATCCTTTTCCATTCTTTTACTATTAACCTACCCATGTCTTTTCAGTTTGTTTTTTGTAGACAACGTATAGTTGGTTCTTGCTTTTTTATCCAATCTGCAAATCTTTGTCTCCCATTGGATTGTTTAGAGTAATTACATTCCGTGCAATTATCAATATGGTTGCGTTTAAATCTACCATCCTTCTAGTTCTCTGTCTCATTTGTTCTTTGTTTCTTTTTTCACCTTTTACTACCTTCTTTGGGTTTAACTGAGCACTTTTTATTATTCCATTTTATCTCCACCATTGGCTTATTGGCTATGCCTTTTTTATTTTTTGATGGTGGCTGTAGGGTTTACAATATATGTCTTGTAATGTACCACAGTCCACCTTAATATAATAGCACTTCATGTAGAGTGGAAGAACCCTACAACTGTATTCTTCTATTTTTCTCCTCTTGTTCTTTGTGCTATTATTGTCATACATTATATTTTTACATATGAATAACTATTGTTTTAAATAGTTAACTTTCTTTTTAAGAGATTAAACATGAGGGGGAAATGTATTTTACCTACTAATTTATCATTTCCAGCATCCTTCAATTCTTTGTGTAGATCCACATTTTGGTATTTTCCTTCTTTAACATTTAGAATATTCTTTAATGTTTCTTATAGTGTGAGTCTGCTGGCAATACATTGTTAGCTCTCGCTTGTCTGAAAAAGTATTTTTCTTCCTTTACGAAGGATATTATCAATGGGTATAAAATTCTAGATTGACTTTTTTATTGCAATGCTGGATGTTGAATTTTACACTGTTGCATGCTGGATTTTGTTGTATTCATATAAAAAGTTGGATTTCATTTTGGAGTACATTTGCTTGAAATCAGTTGGATCCTTTTGGGTCTTGCTTTTAAACTGTGTTAGGGTAGATCCCAAGCAGTCTTCAGTTTAGGGCTAATTTGGCCCACTACTGAGGCAGTCGTCACTAAGGACTCTACTGAGGCCTTTCCACTCTGGCTGGTAGGAGCATGAACTATTCACAGCCTTGGGGAGGTTCTGAGCATTGTTCAGCCTATTGCTACATGGTTCTTTCTCCATCTTCAGGTAGTTTTCTTATAAGTACTGATCAATATTAAACCAAAGGCTGCAGATTTTTGAAGCTTGTTCACTCTCTCTGCAGCTACCTCCTCTCTGGCTATTTTGCTCTGCAAATTCTATCCACATTGGTCTTTCTGAACTTTCAACTCTGCTCAACTAAGCAAGACTGCCAGGCTTCGTTTGGGGTCCCCTCCTTGTCTTCTGGCAGCTGCCTCCAGGCAGTGAGCTGGGGCACTCACAAGTCTCACCTCATTTGATTCCTTTCTCTCAGTGGGTGGCTGTCCTATGCTGTCCGTTGCTCAATCTCTGAAAACTATTGCTTCATATACTTGTTTGCTTTTCTAGTTGTTTAAGGTAAGAGGGTAAGTCAAGTTCCTCTTATTCCATCATGGCCAGAAACAGAAGTCTAAATCATGGGTTACTCTCCTGCTCAAACTCCTCCCGTGGCTTCCCACCTCAGATTAAAAAGCCTAGTCCTTCTGTAGTGGCCCACAAGGTCCCAGTCTGTCCCCTGCCCCCATTACTCTCTGATCTCATCTTCTTACTTACTCTGCTGTGGCTACAATGACCTCCTTGCTAGTCCTTAAATAGGCTGCACACAGGACACATTAGACTTCAGGTGGCCCCTTGGTAATCCATGGCCCTTCTGCCCCCACAGCAACTCAGCAGGGACAGTATTTTCTCAGACTCCTGGGATCTGGGGGGAGAGAGGTGAGAAGGGAAAACGGGACGCAGCCATTCTCCCGCTAGCGGGGCCTGAGCACGTTGTGTTTGCTGGGGAGACATTTGTATTTTTCAGGATCCCTGACTTCAGGACTAAGCTATTGGCTGGACACCTCACTCCAAGCAAGATGTTACAGACTGGGACATCGGGAAGAGAAAAAAGTGAATCTTGGCCCTTGCCAGTTCATAATGCCCTGGGTGAAGGAAAGGGTGATTTAAATTAGCACCAGGTGATGGATTAGAGATGGTCTGCACGGCATTGCTGTCAGGGTCAGGGGAGTTTCAGGAAGGGCAGAGCAGGGAGGGACTGGGGGTACAGGGAAGAGGGGATTGAAGAGTGAGAGCATGATTGGGTCATCTGGAGGTCCTGTGCAGCCACAGGAGACACAGTGGACTGCTGAGAGAGAAGAATCCATGTTGCTTCTTGAATCCTTTATCCTTGCAAAAAGACTCCAAGGTTTCTGGATTGGAAGACAAAGAATGGGGGTGGCGTGTGGGGAAGGCACTGGCCGATACAGTGTCTCTGAATGGAAACCAGCGGTGAGGGGGAAATGAGACTGATCCAGTGTCCTGCTGGCAGCGCCAGCTTCATGTGTGTACAACCTGTCTGCTCATTCGGGGCCCCATGCTTAGAAAAGCCCCACTCTTGGTTTAATGCCCTGCTGTTGTCTTGAAATTCTTAATAACTTGTGAACTCAGCTCCTGGTATTTTCATTTTGCCCCGGGCCCTGCGGGCTGTGCACCTGGCTGAGGATTCCTTTGTAGGGCTGTGCTCCGCAAGTATGGTGGGGAGGAGAGGGGAAGACTTTGGTGATAGCACAGGCCCAGAGAGAGCAGCAGAGGCCCCAGACCAAAGCCCCGGGGCCACCTCAAACGTGGTCTTGAGAAGTGAAGTGTGGGAGAGTGGGAGACCAGCAGGTGAGCCTGAGAACTTACCAAATCTGTGCGGTCTGCAGACCAGAGGCTACTCTGAGGTGGAGGGGAATGAGAGAAAAATCTAGAAGAAGGTCCTGTGGAGGCCTGAGAAAAGTCAGGAGAGACGGAGAGTAGAAACACAGATGGGGGCTCAAGAAGGGA